TATATAAATAAACCAGTCAGTTATAATAGAGTAGGATTTCCCCCCCCCATACCAAATAATAATTCTCTATTAAGGATATGACTGACAGCTTTTTATTATGATCACAATTGAGAAGGTTGGCCTTAAAAATATATATTTTTTTTCATCCAAGGTGCGGAACCCCCTCCTGCTCTCCTGATCTCTCCAGGCCATCGGGGGCGACGAAGCTCTACAGTGGAGAAAAAAGATGCCCTTGCAGAGAAACTAGGAAATGAGGAGGCAGGAGTGAAGCCTCAGGAAAAAAGACCAGGTAGATTGATAGGTTTATTTTGGGTGCTTTGATCACTGCATCAACAACCGGTTATTTATGGTAAAAACAAAACATTGGTGTTCCATCTCTTCCATGTAGTTTAAAGGTATTTTAGGTGCAATCCCTAAAAGAAAATTACATTTACCATTTGTTAACTATCACACGTCTTCAGGTCAAAGGTGAGCATGCAGTAGGTATATTAACTGCAGATCTTCTAAATTGAAATGACTCTTTTGCGGTCTGTAGTTTACCCCCATAAAAACACACATCATGGTTTTATGGAATCTCATAAGAGTGCTTTGTAAAGTTAGGTAACATGGATGTAAGTCATCTCAAACTCATAGTGACAATAAACCCGAGGGAGGAGGACAGGTTTACCAGGTTTCTTGCTGTTTGAGTAATGGATCTGTCGAAACTAGGTGAAGATCAAGGAGATAGAGATTTAGTTTCACAAAAGCTTTTAGTTTCATAATTAATCAACGTTTGCCCTCAGGAACCGTCATTCCTTATCGATTTCAACCCCCATCTCTGTTGTTTACTTTTAGTTGGCAGGCCGAAGAAAACCTACACAGTGCCAAAGAGAGCCAACACGTCAACTTCAGCAACAGACTCTGCAATAAAGGGAAATGCTTCACTGTTGAACTGGTCTATTCCCAGAAAGAGACCGCCAGTCGACTTCTTCCTCTTCAATGGGACGTCCCGTAAGACCCAGAAGAAGATTAGAGAGCGGGATTTGGGCTTGTTTCACAGGCCAGCCCTGCATTCTCTAGCACCAACAACCCCAGTTAAAAGCATTTTTGGTACTGCGTTTGAGGTTGACTCATTCAGCAGCATTGCTAATGGCTACTCAACCTTTGGAAATGGTGGAGGCTCTGGAGCTGGGAGACCCGTTACCGCCATGGGTTCCATGGGCCTTCGAGACTCGCCTTGTTCTTCATCTGTTACCATGTCGACAGCAGCTGGGAGCCACAAGCCTCTGAGTGAGCGTGACAGAAAACACTTCTTAGTGAAGCTTGACCATGAAGGAGTGACATCCCCAAAAACAAAAAACGGTAAAGCTTTGCTTCGACTCGGAGGGGTTGGAGGGAGAGGTGTAAAAAGCCAGGCTTTTGCAGGGGCGCCACTTCGATACATCCAACCTTCTCTTCTTGCCAAACATCAAAAGAAGGTGGGAGAGGAGCGAGACAGTCCCAGACCTCGATCAGAGACTCTTTCAAACAGTGTTCCACCACAGAGAAAAGACATTCTCTCTGCTGGTCTTGGAGCGAAAGGTGTGGACTACAGCTTGGAATACCCTAGTGACTGCCCAAGCTCCTATTCTGAGCTGGATGAGGACGATGAGGATGATAGTCAAGTAGCTCGAAGAAGAAGAGCCGCCATCTCCTCCCACCGCGGCGGCCGTTTTCTATCCCGTCCATCCATCTGCTTCTCCTCGTCTTCCTCCTCCTCTTCTTCTTCAGGTTCCATTTCCTCCTCTTCCTCTCTTTGTTCCTCTGACAATGACTCCTCTTACTCATCTGATGAAGAGTCCTCCTCTGTGCTGCTGCGACGGGCTCTTCTGCAGCAGGACAAACAGAAAAACAGGCAGAACGCGAATCTCCAGAGCCCGGATCCCACAACATCCAGCCCATCATCAGCACCAGCTAATGGCTATATCACCAAGGCCAGTGTAACTGTTAGAGGGTCAAAAGTGAGAGCTGACAGATTGGAGGACAGGAAGGAGTACATCTCCAAAGGAATCATGATGGTCGACAACAGAATGAATAAAATGCAGCTGAAGAGGAAAGAAAGTGTTTCTAATGACCATCAAACCCAAGGCAGCCCTGTTAGCCAGCAGCTGAAACCTGCATCAAAGGATTTAGGAGTAACCAAGAAGCAGAGGATGTCTTCACCTGAACCTCTTCCTAAAATGGCCTCCCTGTTACCTGGACGCCAGCTCTGGAAATGGTCTGGCAATCCCACACAGGTATGACATTTAGTTTTTTTGTTTTGTTTTGTTTTGTTTGTTTTTTTCAGATCCAAGAATTGTTTTAAAGATAATGTACATTAACCCCTTTCATCTCCTGGACATTTCCTGGACTTCTTAATAAATTATTTTCTTGGTTATGTAATTTAAGATGTATTATGTTGAGTTTCAGGAACCCCAGCACTAAGCTCACTGAAATGAAATCACTATTTTTATAGAGACCTTTGCAGTTTGCATTTAAATTGTTGCTGTATGAAATAAATGCAGTGAAATAAAGATTGAAATAAATACTGATATAGCTAAAATTTTAACAACTAAATCTTTTCTATTTTTCTCCCATTCTGTCAAGGTATTCTAACCTTAAACACTTTTTAAGTAAGGTTCTGTAAAATGTTTAGTTCAGAAAATCTGTTCTACAGTAGCTAACATGCTTTACATATTTATTTAGTAGAAAGTCCAAGAAAAGGCAGAGACTTAAGGTATAAGAAGAAATGCATTTTTATACTTGATGGTTGGAATAAGACTAAAGTTCTTTATGGCCAGAATATTTATTCTTCCTGAAAACTTTTGAAATTTCCTTGAAGTTTTTATGGATTCCACCTTATGAAGCATCTGTCACCATAATCACCATTGCCAGTTCACATTTCCACCAATCACACAATAGCTATTAGGGAACCAAAAGGGTTCTTCCTAGAATATTGATCTAACACAAACTGCAAGAGAAAACAAACCCAGTTCTATAAGAACATAATGTCTTTTTTCTTCCAGTTCAGAAATAGGGAACTCATTTCCTGCTCCCCTGACATATTTATTTGCCTCTGAACAGATGTATAATGTCTTAGAACAAGTCTAATCTATAAAATGTCACTGCAGTTTGTGGGAACAGTAATTCATGAGTCTTAAAACTATGCTCAAGTAATTTTTGGTATGACTCAGTTATGGAGGTTTTGTACCTCGGATGATATTTAATTATGATGCTAATGCTTAGGAAAGGCCATGTAAAGCAATTCTGGTCCGATAATATAGAAATTGACAGGATAAATACTTGTTTAGACCCATTTTTGCAGCATGTTTTCTGTTTGTGTTACATACTGAAGGATCGTCTTACCTCCATTTTAAAGTAAATGGTCATATTTATCTAAAGCAAATCTGACAATCAAGAGGTTCTGAAAACAGTATTAGCATAGACCTAAACATATAAGGTCTTCAGAATGTCGTAGCTTTGTAGATACGACATTCTGTAGACCTAACTTGCATGGTAGAAGTCCACTTTGAGCTCGGCTCCTCTGGAACTGGCCATTAACTTTAGCCAGACAGATAATGTAAAAACTGGACTACTGGCTACTGGACTAGACCTAGATAGGTTCTTATGCACTAGATATCCCCCCAAAAAAAGAATTCTGGCGTTTAACTGCTGAAAATGTATGTTTTATGTTGTAACTGCAGTATATGTTATTACAGAAAGATGTTTCTGCAATAATGAATCTTGTCTTAAACAAAGAAATTCTAAATTGAGTTGTTTTAAAAAGAAAAAAAAAACTCTACTATACACCATTGCTATTTTCTCTTTGTCTAACAGAGAAGAGGTCTTAAGGGTAAAGCTCGTAAGCTTTTCTACAAGGCCATCATGCGGGGCAAGGAGATGGTGCGTGTCGGTGACTGCGCTGTGTTCCTGTCACCTGGTCGACCCCAGTTGCCCTATGTGGGTAGAGTGGAGAGCCTCTGGGAGTCCTGGAGCTCCAGCATGGTGGTCAGGGTCAAGTGGTTTTACCACCCAGAGGAAACTCGCCTGGGAAAGCGACACAGTGATGGCAAGGTAAGGCCAGGAAGTACCAGGATCCTTTGAAAGGAGTAACAGTAAATATCATATATAAGCTCTTTAGTGTGGTAAGCAAAACATTAATATTTCGTGATACAGTCTCGGTTTTAGGGCTTAGACACAAAAGGCCCCACTGCTTGCACCCATGCTAAAAGAAATTTTCTTTTTAAGGCAGATTAAATTGTAAAATTGTTATAACCTTAATCTTAAGCTGCAATGTCCTCTTTAACGTTTTTATTTGTCTCTCGTTGTTCCACCAGAACGCTTTGTACCAGTCGAGCCATGAGGATGAGAACGATGTGCAGACCATCTCTCATCGCTGCCAGGTGGTCAGCAAGGCAGAGTACGACCAACTGACGCGCGAACGCAAGCCGGAAAGCCCGTCCAATGACCTGTTCTACCTGGCAGGAACCTATGAGCCCACTACAGGCCAGCTGGTCAGCGCAGACGGCATGGTCATCCTGTCCTAGCACCGCCAACAGTAACAGGAAATTCAACTGAACCTTCGCTGGAGTTTATCCTGACAGAGGCAAACCCATGTTGGTTTTATGGTGTGAACTGCTTTTCTTGGCAGAAGAATGAACCAACGTAACGGTGATAAAGAACAGTTAGTTGTTTAGAAGAAAGAGCTGGTTCATCACTGATTTAATGATCCAGATTTTTAACTCTTCTCTTTGGCTGTTTCATTTGACATGAAATGATTGCAGCAACCAAAGCAGAGAACCTAAGGACATGAGCACTTTGGAGTATTACAAAGGGAAAGCATCTGAAACAGAGACAGAAAACAGGATATGCTGTAAACCACACTAGTTTAGATGGTAATGGTCTCTGAACAATGTAGGACAATGCTATATAAAAGAAACCCTGATAGGACCAATAAACACTTTAGTTTGGACTTAAAGTGTTTGCTGAGTGACCGTTATGGCGTTAACATCTCAGTGCTTCAACACATGTTTGTACAGTATTTCGGACATTATGCATGTCAAACACGATGTCACGATCCAAAGTGGGTATGTCTCTGATACTCTAATAATCAAATCAGTGCTTAACTTTATTTTTATTTTAGTCATTGTGACTGAACAAGTTTTCCTCCTTTTAAGCCATACACATCAATACCTCTCTATCTCCGTCTCTGTTGTATCAGCCTAAATGGCGCAAAGACTCATGTGCAGGCAGTAGATTGTTTTTTGAGCTGCGTGTGTGCCTGGGTGAATGTGTGTGTGCTTTGTACAGCCTTCCATGTAGAATAAAACACTGTATATAGTATATAAATATATATAAATATATATATATATAAATATATAAATCTATGTTCATGCGGTTCCTTTGCAGAGATTATTTTGTTTTTTAGTTTTTTTAGGGATGGTGGGGTTTTTGTTTGGGGGGTGGGGATTTGCTGCAGAGATAAAGGGTGGGATCGTGTTTCCTTCTGTATAAATGCACTGAAAATGACTAGATGTTTGAGTTTGGGATGAAACCGCAACCACAACAATGCTTATAAGGCTGTAAACCCTTGCTCTTGGCAGAAAGGTAAATATGTAGAAAAGGAATTTGGAATAAGTTTGTATACATGTTTACTTATTATTGTATTCCTTATGTTTGTTTTAATTATGTTCGAGTTAGATTTTTCATTTCCTTTTATTTCTGTTCAGAAAATACTGGAAAAGAAACCTGCATTTCTGCCAGGGTCCTTCAAAAAAAAAAAAAAATCTAGTCCTTTTCCGTTTTAGGATTTGTTCCTATGGAAAACGAAGAGGTTTATCTGGCAGCAAAAAAGAAACATACCAAAGGACTTGTGACTTTACACTACACCACATTAGACTAACGACACTTTAAAAGTCGTTCAATCAGTTCTGATACTGAAACTCCTGTAATCTCAGAGGGATTCTTCTCGTCCTGTTTGGATTCATCCAATGTTTGCAGAGACAATGTTTGTGCACCGCCCAGTTGATGCACTTGAAGTCTCTATGGCAACCAGTATGGCATCACATGACTGTGAAGGACAATCAAAGCCAATCAATGGGACAATGTTAGAGACAAAAATACAAGATAAAGGATCAAATCACAAATTTAAGCTTCTTGTCACTTTTATTCATGCTTTGCCAAAAATGTCTGAACATTTTGTGTTTTTGATGCTTTTGATTTATTTTTCCAATCATTTTCTTGTATATGCAAGCCTGGATGACTGTTTGTTGTATAGGATGTACAGGAGGACGAACATGAATGCCTTTTTCTCTTTTTAGGACTGACTGACTGACTCTTAACAGCACTTTTGCTGTTACACTGCAAGCAAAAGCTTTAAAGGAACCTAATGTGAAACTCAGCTTTGAATTATTGCTTTTATGGGTCTTTAATTTTTTTTTAAAGCTGTATTTTTCTTTAAAAACACTGGATTAAACTCTGATCACAATTATTTGGACAGGGCAACATCAAGGTTTTTTTTAAGACCCACTGGAACCTGTAATGTATGGTTAAAATAACCTATCAAAATATATTATGTAATTTCAGTCATTCTTTGGAAATTTGACTTAAATATTTCATTGTGTAAAAAAGAAAAAATATTTATCTTAATTTTATTGCCTTTTGTGTTTCATTAAAAAGAGGATTCCTAAGAAATAAAGTATCTAAATTTCCTTTTTCTTACCTCTCTTGTAGAGTGTGCTCTCTGAATGCCACCTTGTGTGCATCAATGCCAAGTACTGGTCAGATGTGAGAATATGCAGCAGAGGATGTAACAGGCATGGAGAGGTGGAAGCCAAGGGGGAAGGGGTGCTCAAGAGAAGGGAAGCAATTTGAAACTGTAGCACCGTCTGATAGGAAGGGAAGAATCGGGAGAGAATGGGAAATTGTATCTTGCGTTTTTTTCCAGAGAGAATGGGGCAGGATGTAGAGTCTCCTTTGGCTCCTCAGGTGGGTCAGGTATTCAGAGCAACACAAAAACGGAACAGAACCATTAATAGAACAAAGCCGGGGGTATTCGCTTTCAGTCTGCAAAGATTTTTAATCCACGCCAAAGGCTTTCACACACCTACAGTATACGGAGTATTGTAAAACAATTCATATCACTGGATTTCTGTTTTAATGTTTTTTGTTTTGTTTGAACCAAAAAATTTCAGCTATTTTATTGAGATTTTGTGTGAAAGATCATTACTTTGTCCTACAGAACTGGGAGGTGGTGTTGATTAAATCAAAGCAAATTTACAAGTAAAAATCTGAAAAGTGTGGCAAGCACAGCCTACATTCCTACCCCTCAGTACAATTCAGAACAACAAATTGTGACCTGTTCAGCAAACAGAGTCTGCCGATTTTAACCTGAATAATAAAAAATAAAAAAACTACACAATGCTGCTCCCACCCTGTTTTCTAGCATAATGTTGGTCCACTTAGGACTAAATGCATATAGAACAACTTTCCATTTTCCTTTTTCGTCCTGTGTAAACAAGACATGTGGCAGAAAAAGAAACAATTACTTTGTATTGCTTGTTTTTAAACAATGGTTTACCTATTGCCACCCTTTCATAACCGTGGAACTCTACACTTCCTTCAGACCTACCACTAGCCTGTTGTACTTCATTCCACAGGCTCCCCTTTGATCACCTCCACTCAACTCAGAATGTGTTAACTGTATTTCTATTACAGGTTCTTCAGCTCACTATCCAATCTTTAGGCAAATGCTCAGTAGCCAGGCGTAACACGGGTGAAAAGGACCTCAATGTGACTGAGAATGCTGTTTACTGAGTGGCTATTTGGTCAGCCAAACGACTGTAGCTGCTCCAAGGGGAGAAATGAGAAGCTGTTCAATGTGTTATTGGAAAATGGCCACAAATTTGGATGCACTGCAAAGTAGGGGATGGCCACAGTCTAGTTCAGGGGAATCAGCGGGGTCTGAATAAAGAAAATCATCAACCAGTAAAGGTCCGGAGTCATTTTTGTTATACATTCAATGTTATACATTGAATTTTTAAATAAAAAAGATATAAAACATTTTAAAATCTAAAGTGTTTTTTGAAGTAGAGAACAACAATCTTTCAGTTTGGTATATTAACAATTTCCTGATTCACATATTTTTTAAAACACCTGAACTGACTTTTTTTGTTATGTCTTAATGTTGGCAGTGGGCTTTATGCTGCCCTGCAAGGCTTTAAACCTGGATCTGAATGGAGACTAAGCCATTCTCAAGCACATATCAAGGAGCTCATTTTGAGCCTGGATCCAGATTTATTGTTGATTCTGTTCATGGTGGAGAATCCTGCTTCACAGCAGCAGGTTGAGCCAAACATCCTCTAAATGTTCAGGCTCCGCTCCGGTCTGACCAGGTCAAGATCCACTATTGCAATCGCACCAAACAGAAGAAAGAATGGCGAGAAGATTCGGTTTGTCAAATGAAAATACAGTAACAACAGATCGGTAACTACAAATTAGAGCATAATTCTTACATATTTCAAAAAACTAACACCGTTTATTTAAAAGATTGGATGCAAACTATTGGTACTTCAACAGACCAGGAAGCAGATTTCTCATCTCCATCAGAAACCACACATCTGCTGGATGCTGATGGGGATGTTTTAAATATGTCATATTAAATTACATTTCTGCATGTTTTGCTCCTACAAATTTAATGATAATATCACGCATGTTCTCCAGGAGCTCACAGGATAAGTCAGAGCGCAGAGCAGGAGGAAGAGCGGAGGCTGTAGGCTTTGCTTTGCAGGAGGTCAGGAGCGCTGCGGGTAGAGTGGAGACAGAGAATGTGGGATTTCAGGGTAACAGGAGAAGCGGCGCAAGTGATGTTTAGACACTGTCGTCTGACAATATGTGGTAATTTATAAATAATTAAATTAAGTTGGGTCCGGATTAGCCGGCAGGTGGGTCCGGATCCGGACCACGGTCTGCTAATCCGTGACCTCTGGTCTAGTTGTTAAGATTTTTGAGATAGGTTGGTAGGTGTATCTTTGTGCCATACTCTTTCTATTTGAGAACATTCAGTTAGCCGGATTATGCGCAGCTTGATCACATGGTGGAGGGACAAGTCTATATGTAGTACCCAAAGGTAGTACCTACCTTTGGGTACTACCTACCATGAATACTATTGCATGTGTGCAAGTTCAAATATAGCTCACACGTGTTCATCAGACAGCACACTGTGTAAACCTAGTACTCGGCAGACAAGCTGGGATTATCACCTGCGTGGTGTTGACTTTCCAGGACGAAGTGTGTATACCATTTTACTGCGTTATTCGAGACTTCCGTGACATATTCACACCTTCTTATCATACTGTAACTGCAGCCCTTGTCACGTCTTTACACTCATCTGTGTGGCATTTACCTTTGATCTAAACTTGCAATCAGACTGTCTCATGGCACTGCTCAAAGCAAGGAAGCGTGGTGTTGTCGTGAACATTGGTCATATACTTTATCTTACTGGCCTTAAAAGTTTACCTTTTTATCCTCAACCAGCTGCGTTTCCACTTGTCAGCTCAGAAAAAGGTCCCTGACCGATAGTCCAGGGCCATAAATTAAAACCATACAAACATTTACTTATTACTCATTTACCCAACTACAACCTCTTTGTGCAGTTCTCTTTAGCTGTTTAGGCAGTTTATTATTGCAAAGCTGCAAAGCACTTCTACCACACACACACACACACACACACACACACACACACACACACACACACACACACACACACACACACACA